TATATATATATATATATATATATATATATATATATATAAATTTGAATCACATTGAAAAAAAATTATAAATTTTTTTTTCGATAAATAAATCAAATAAATAAATTATATGAAATGCATTGATTAATTAGGTACAATTACATTTTATTGACATTTATTTTAAGTGAATCAAATTAATCTTGAATACTGCACTTATTTTTCTTTTTTCCTTTCATTTTTGGAGGTTGATGGCCTCAGTCCTCATTTATTTTTGTTGTTAACATGTTCCCTTTATATTTTTTTATGCATCATTTAATTAAAAACAAATAATAAAAAAAGCTGAAGAATCAAATTGAATCTAAATAAATCCATAGTAGTCCTTTTTATTAATTTTTGGAGTTTGTTAGGCTCATTCTCAATTTATTTTATGCATCTATATTTATTTATACCCTCATGGTGCCCCGAACCTATTATCTAGAAATAATGTCAGAATGTTCATATTTGGATGAACTATTAATTGAAGCTACACGAGCTGAGTTTGTGTGAGATTTGCCAGTTGATTGATTGCGTTTTGCTAATGATGTGCTTTCAGACCTGGGTTTCCCAGTGATAAAGGCCAAAAGTTTCATTAGCACGGCTCTCGTTTGAATGTCCCTCATAAATATTCCATGTAAATATCACTGCGGCGTGTGCAGGTGTGCCGCGTGCTCTGCAGCAGATGCTGATCGAGAGGGTCTCCAGACACTTACCAAACCAAGGAAGCGCTAACCGACCCGTTTGCCGTCATCAGAACAATCTGTCAGAGCTTCTGGATGGGTGCCGTGAATTATTGGCAAAGCACGCACTGTAACGTCACGAGATCACACACGGAAAACTCGAGTCTCGCCATAACAACACACTCAAACATGAACTTAACTGAAGCATACTAAATTCTAAATATTGGATTATAATAGCGTTCTGATTATATTATTATTTTAGGTTTTCACAACAAGGGCTGCCTTTTTTTGTTAAAAGCTGATGCTTTTTTTTATTAACATGACATAACTAAAAAAAATATATATAATATAAAAATAATAAATTGTATCAAAACTTAAAAATTGATCATTTTATAATTAAATTATAATTGCAGTAACATAATAATAGATGATTAATAAATAATTTTTAATATACATAAGTTACATATAAAAAAAATTATAATAAATAGTAAATTATAACACTTATAAAATGTTTTCTTTTACATTAATTGTTTTAATTTTGCACTTGAACAGATTTTTTTCATTTACTAAAATTAGATGGCATTTTATTCTAAGATTAAACCAATACAAATTTTAAATGTATATATAAATATATATTAGAGGTGTAACGGTACACGTATTTGTATTGAAAGTTTTCGGTGCAGGTCTTTCGGTTCGGTGCGCATATGTCCCGAGCAAATACTGCGTGGGTTTAACCACTGCACGAGCGGAACTTCATCGGAAACTTCCAGTTTTATATATTGTTACTTTTGATAAGAAACAAAGTTTCATCTTTCAAATTATGTCCTTTTTTCAGGAAATTCAAACAATGAATGCCGTTTTGGCGCTCTTTGATGTGGCGCAACAGATCGCTGTTTAAATTCCTCAGTTCAAACGGCAGCGCGATCATCCCTTCCTCTTTATTACTAGTTTTAATGTGAAATAAACATGAATGAACATCTCCTGCATCATGTAATCACTCAATCAGTGTTTCAACCGTGGAAAGACATCAATAAAACAGCTTGTAAACAAAATGTCACGTAGCATTTAATTTAACGTTACTTCAGGAAGTCATCAGTGTCCACAGTTCGTTAGTGCGCGATAAATGAAGTCTAGAGAAGAGCATTTCAAGAAATATTACACTTTATAATCATTATATTTTACTTTAACTGTTAGTGATGTCTTAATAATTTAATGTTTAAATAAATCTGTTATGAGAGGCACTGTGTAAATGAATATATTTCAACAACAAATAGAAAGTTGAGTGTTGATTATTATGTTTAAAAATAAATAGTAATTAAATTTAAGTTTGGGCTCTGCTGTTAACTGTAACCTTATAGTAGGCCTAATGTAAAAGGGCTCCCTATAGTTTAGAGCATAAGCCGAGGTAGATTTTTAAAATGAAAATTGAATTGAATTATAACTGAGTTTATTTAAAGAAAGAGCCATTTGTTCAGTAAACCTTCGTTTTTTTCCCCCTTCTGTACTGAAACTGTACCGAACTGTCATGTTTGTGTACTGTTACACCCCTAACACACACACACATTGCATGTATGTTTAAATGAATAAAAAATGAATAATTAAAAATTTAATATTATATATTATACAATACAGTAATTAATTTTTATTTATTTATTTTTTAATTGGTTTCATTTTTCTCATCAACTGACAATTTTTTTCCACAGACTCAAATTATTACATTTATCTATACACTGTATATAATATATTATATACAGTGTATAGATAAATGTATACACTGTATATAATATATTATGTAGAAAATATAATATATATGAATATTTTTGTAAAATTTTAATAACAACAACAACAACAACAAAACAAAAGTATAAAAATCAGCACCTCTCAGGATGGTCTTTAAGAGCACAGGCAAAATCGGTCCTAACAGAATGAAATATTCAGAATATACAGCTACTTTTGAATGACTGTCAGTGGAGAAAGAACTAGCGAGTATGTAGGTGTGGCGTCTGTCAGCTGTTGTTATCTGAAGCATGCAAACTAGCCAAACCTTGCCACCTTGTTTCCCCTGCTGTGTGTTTCTAGCTGCAGTCATTTTAACATCAGAACTGTGGCATCAGATGCCGTAACGTAGTGCTTTTCCACTTCGTCTTCCACTCGCAATCAAGATGCCGACTGTCACCGCTGTTCATCAGTCCAAAACACTGGCCAGCGCAGTGATGATTGGCAATGTCAAGACCAATTTTGGCAGTTGCAGACTAGACAAGCATGAAATTGCTGCGGGGAAAGTACATCTGAAGGAAAAACGAGCCTCCCAGACCTTTGCAACGAGAGTCTAAAATAATCAAGCTGATCCCGATGCATTCATCATGAGCCTGGCTAATGGGTGGAGGATGATGGGAAGGGTCTTTCACACCGTCCCCCTCCAGCAATTCAACCCATTGAGTGATGGATGGGCAAATGACGTAAATGCAATTAGAAAGTCTTTTCTTTGGCATTGATCTTTTTTGATTGTGTCAGTCAGGGCTGCTGAACGGGACTTTGAGTGGCAGTCGTAACCGCGGTCTCCTCTTACAGTGCATCATTCTGACCTTTTTATTATAAAATTATGTCATTATTTGTATTATAAAATAATTATGTATTATAAAAATGTGCTTTAAAATTTATTTAAATGGATGATCATTCTCTAAAAAGGCCCAAAAACTACAGTGGAAAGATATTTATTGAATAATTTTCCTAGATGTGCAATTAAAAAGTCACTTTGCTTTATGATTTATATGTTGCTTGCAAATTACTTTTTTTGTTTGTTTTGGTGATGAAAACACTGCTTTTTAATTTTTTGTGATATTTTAATTTTAATAAATTAATTTGTTAAATATTTTTTGCTTTGTATAAATGTATTTTTTGTATAAATGGATGGATGGTTGGAAGGATGGATATGGATGAATTGATAAGAATTACGTTCTATAGTGACGTTGAAAATCCGCCCCATGTTTAGTCATGGTGTTTGCGTCTGCGTTGTGGAAAGCTCACCAATGAGCGATTCCTGAAATGTTCTCTGTGTAAAGTCTGACATTTGTTGTGTTTGTTTTGCATAGATACGGACTACATCAGCACGGAGGAAGAGCAGAAGGTAGAACAGATGCTAACTTTCCTGACGGAGGAGTCCAAGCAGGCAGCTGCCAGCACAGCGGTGAGTACAGCTTCCCACACAGGTTCAACAAACCACAACCAGCCTCTCCATCTTACCACAACTAGAGTCCAGATCTGCCACTGATGGACAGCAGTACAGGGTCTGTCGCCTCAGTCAAGAACCCTTAAAATGAATTGGTTGGCTTACAACTTGAGAAGTTCTGCCAAAAGTAACATTTGGTATTTTAACATTTCAATATTCCAGTATAATAAGCTCAGACAAATAAAACATGCTTTATCTGCTTCTGCAGACCTTAGTGAGTGTAGTAGCCCATCTAGGACTTTTTTTTAAATTTCAGTCCAAAATAACAGATTTTTCAGCAGCTATTCTAAAATATTCCAGTGCTATTTGCAGTATTTTTGTGGTGTTGTGCCATGGAAATCTACTAATATTCATTATGCAGTTCTATAATGTGTCTGTCACCATTGTACCCGTAAGTAACCAAATATGCAATAATCATTCAAATATTTAGACAATGACAAATTTTTGTTTGTTTGATAAAAATAAAGTCTTGATGAAGTACGGCATGTATTTATATAAGATGCAAACACATTTATATAGAATCCAAAAATTGCGCGAATAAGACAAAAATGACAAAATATTGTGAATAATGCAAGGTCTAGCTGAATTTAAATTGTTGGTAAAAAATTGCAAAAGAATGCAAAGTTTCTCAGGGGAATGCAGTTGTTTGTGGAAAATGCAATGCTTTTGCGAGAGAAAGTTTCTCGGGATACACAATACTTTTGCGAGAGAACGCCAAGTTGAGAGAACACAACGTTTCTTGGGGAGAACACAGTATTTTTGGGGTGACTCTATACTTTTGCGAGAGAACTCAAAGTTTCCTGGTAGAATGGAATACTTTTGGGAGAACACAATACTATTTTTTGTGAGAAAATGCTAAGTTTCTCATTCAGGAGAACGCAATACTTTTGCAAGTCAACCCAACATTTTTGGGGGAACAATACTTTTGGGAGAATGCAACACTTTTAAGAGAGAATGCAAAAGGTTTGCAAGAGAACAAAGTTTCTCGGAACACAATACTTTTGCAAGAGAATGCAAATGTGTTGTGAGAGAATGCAAAAACATTAAAATATTATTGTTTCACCATGTCCTTTTAGTGGCTCCGTAATTCATGCAACGGATTACATAAGAATGGTTTTCTGAGCAAACTCATAAATTCACCCTGCTGGCTTTTCCTAATGTGTCGAGCTGTTGTGTGCCTGATTGTCATTCAGCAAATGACGCAGACACAAAAAATCAACACATTTTCAGTGGATGTATAACATGGTTTTGAAAATTAGACACAACCTAGAAACTTGCAACATATTGAACCAGCTTCAAAATTCTTGTTTCATTCACGAAAATGAAGCGATTCATTCATTAATGGTATCTTCTTTGAAAAAATCGATCTGGCCTTCTTTTAATTTGTAATGGATCTACCTGTTGAACTGAACCAATGAAAGTCAAGGACAGCTTCGGTGTCACCACTGCATACAGTAAACTACTTCTTTATGGTCCTTCAAGCACCTTAAGCAATAAATCCTGCTGTAGCTTTTAACAACGTGACGGTGGGTGGCAATGAAAGCCTGCTAGTGACTATCTGAAGTGGAATCACAAAGTTCCCCGAGGTTTCTGTGGCATAACGTTAATGCAATGGCAGGTCTTTCCACAGCCAGTACTCTGATCGGTCCACCGCAGCATTAGACAGCAGAAAGTGAAGCTCTTCCCCCGAGAGCTTCCCCTCTGCAGAGAAATATGATCGTCCATTCCCATCTCCCACAAAGCAGCAGCAGCATGCGCCATCAGCAGACCCACCTCAGCACAGAGAGGCTAATTCAGTTCAAACAGATAATTCTGCTCTGTAGTCTACTGCGCCGCAACAACACGAGAAATAAGCATAATTTTCTCTAATAGCCATATAACCTTTTGATAATCATGTTAAAATAGGAAATATTAGAAAATATGGGCAGCTGGCATGACGTGTAATTCTACTGTCCTTAAAGGACATTTGTTTTCTCTTTATAGTTTAATGTAGCTAGACAGCCAAGATTTTGTCATAAACATAACATTTATTCAAATTGTCTTTTTATTTTATTTATACAAAACAAAATAAAATAAAAAGCAAAACTCACACAAACAAATTGCTTTTTGCTGTTTTGCTTTGTTTTACTTGTTGCTTGCTTTTTTGTTTGATTTGTTTGTTTGTCATGTTGTGTGCACATTTATTTTACATTGTCTTTTTATTTATTTGTTTGTTTCTGAATTTTGCTTTTAATTTTTGTTTTGTTTTGCTTTTTGTTGCATGCTTGTGCTTTGTTTAATTTATGTTGTGAATGATTATTCTAATTGTCTTCATTCATTTGTTTATTTGTTTTGCTTTTCCTCACTTTGTTTTGCTTTGTTTTGCTTTGCTTTTTGTTGCATGCTTGTTTTTTGTTTAATTTGTTTGTCATGTTGTGAATGATTATTCTAATTGTCTTCATTCATTTGTTTGTTTGTTTTGCTTTTCCTCACTTTGTTTTGTTTTGCTTTTTGTTGCATGCTTGTTTTTTGTTTAATTTGTTTGTCATGTTGTGAATGATTATTCTAATTGTCTTCATTCATTTGTTTGTTTGTTTTGCTTTTCCTCACTTTGTTTTATTTTGTTTTGTTTTGCTTTTTTTCTTGCTTGGTTGGTTTGATCATTTGGTGAACGAAGTGATTATAATTACAGTTTTATGTTGGCATTATCAAATTGGGTTTTACTTTTTAAATGCATTGAATTGCTAAAACTAAATGCTAAAACAGCTACAGTATGTTGTGACCAGTCATTATTTAGTATATATGCATATCATTTGCACCACAAGGTGTACATTTTCACATTTGTACCTCCGAGATTTACGTGTTGGTTTGTTTACTTCTAAATCGGTCTCTTGTCATTTATTTTCTTGGAGCAGATTGCAGTGTGTCTGACACTATATTTTCGGGTCAGAGCGGCATCATTTAAACGATATTCCAAAACATATTTGCGCTTCAGAGAATCGCTGCCGTAATTATTGTCAGTTTTCTGTCATTACACTACGGATGGAGAATTGTGCCGAATTACAGATGCAATCATGAGGTAGTGTGAGCCTCAGATAAATCAACAATTTATTCACATTTGGTAAATCTTTTGAGATATTCAGGTAATTTTCAGATAAGTATGTGTTCAGTTTCTTTGTATGTTTGATCTGTTAAAAAAACACATACCAATACTTTTATACATGATGTTAATTTATACAGATAAAATCAAATCAACTACATTTATTTTAATACATATTCCAAATTTACTAAGTTATTAAAGCAGAAATACAGCATTTCAGTCTCTTACGTTCAGTCAGGCATTACACTACGGATGGAGAATTGTGCCGAATTACAGATGCAATCATGAGGTAGTGTGAGCCTCAGATAAATCAACAATTTATTCACATTTGGTAAATCTTTTGAGATATTCAGGTAATTTTCAGATAAGTATGTGTTCAGTTTCTTTGTATGTTTGATCTGTTAAAAAAACACATACCAATACTTTTATACATGATGTTAATTTATACAGATAAAATCAAATCAACTACATTTATTTTAATACATATTCCAAATTTACTAAGTTATTAAAGCAGAAATACAGCATTTCAGTCTCTTACGTGCCTTATGTGTTAAACTGAAGCTGACAACATACAGTATTTTCCAATAAACGCAGTCATTGGTTCATCTGGTGGCAGATGTACATGCAAACCCATTTATGAATACAAATCACATTGCCGCAGAGAGAACAGAACAGCATGGTTTTACATATTTATCATCTGGCCACAATTTAAACTAAAAAAAATAAGGAGATATTCTTGTTGCGCTATGATATGCATATTGGCAATATGATTTGTTTTCACGTCACAATGCAGAACTTTAATAAACAGAAATATTATTGCTGTCGTTCCCCTTGAGGTTTTGAATGATGAACTGTATCTAATGCAATATTGTTATTGTGTTACAGTGGCATCTTTTATGAGCCGTTACTATTTATTGCTACAATAATCCTACTTACTCATATATTCAACCTTTGATTAAAAGTTAATACATTGTGTCTCTATAGGTCAGCCTTTGTTAATTGGGACTGTGGTTTCTGTATAGATGTTCAGCTTTGTGACCTTCAGTTATTTCCATGTTTGATCAGTTTGATTTGTTGTGGGTGAGGAAACAAAGATTGAACTCTTGAATTCACGTAATATGTTTATTATAATGGCCGAGAGGAAGCAATTTAATGTTGCTTCTACTGTTAAAAAGATTTTTAAATGTTTTTGAAAGAAGTTTCTTCTGCTTCCCAAGGCTGTGTTTATTTGATCAAAAATACTATAATAATCTGAAACATTATTACAGTTTAAAGTAACTGTTTTATATGTGAATATATTTTAAAATGTGATTTATTCCTGTGATGCAAAGCTGAATTTTCAGCATCATTACTCCAGTCTTCAGTGTCACACGATCCTTCAGAAATCATTCTAATGTGCTGATCTGCTGCTCAAGAAACATTATTATTATTATCAATGTTGCAAACGTGTGCTGCCGAATATTTTTGTGGAAATTGTGATAAAGTATTTTTTCAGGATTCTTTGATGAATAGAATCAAAAATTTATTTGAATTAGAAAGCTTTTGTAACATTATAAATGTATGTACTGTCACTTTTGATCAATTTTATGCATCCTTGCTGAATGAAAATATTAATTTCCTAAAATAAATAAATACATAAATAATGATTTATTAAATTAAATACTGATCACAGACTTTTGAGTGGTAGGGTGTACTGTTTTTATTTTATTTATTATTATTATTGTTTTTTTACTTAAGTTCTGACAAACTTTATTTGTTAATATAATCTTAATACAATAATATTCTTAATTTTAAATGTGACTTATGCCCGGTTCAGACTACACGATTTTAGCCCGATTTTGCCACGATTTGCTTGACGTAGGGTGTCGTGGGGATTCGT